GGTTCAGAAGGCTTCAGTGATCAATAGCCGGAACAGTTTCTTCCTTTCTAGGCATTTAATAACTCATACTTCAAAGTTTATAAGTCCCCCCTTCACCACAAAATGATATGCAGTTATCTGGAACTTTGGCACCACACTGATTCTTTATAACCGAATATACGCAGCGGTATGACTGTTATCTGTAGATCCTCCAACTGTGCAACGCTTTTCTCTTGGTTCAGATACCACTGAAACCACAGAGACTGTATCAAATATTGCTCTCGTGATGTCCCTTGACAGTAGCTAGTTGTTGTCGAATGGCAAGAAATTCCACTCCTTAAGTTGCTATTTTCTTGATAAACTTATGTTCAGTGCTGCTTAGTTTGTCTCACTGCAGCAGAGCCAGGGTTAGAAGCTCCTCTATGATAACTTTTATCTACCTGCTAGTTCAAAAGCTACTACTGAGTAATCGCCTGTAATTTCTATACTAGGGGATGGTCTCCATTATTAAGATGGTCCAGTAGGATGGTTTCCTATTTGGTATTCGGCCACTATCACTGCCAATATCATACAGCTGTACCATTTTGATGGCACTGAAAAGGTAAAGATCAAACTCCCAACTCGATGTTATTCTGCCCTGTCCGCGTTTGAAGGATGGGTTGGTGAAATCCTGACTGTACCCAAGAGTAGACACTTTGGATACTACATGACGCAGTTGTCTCTCTCGTTCTAAATCTCTAGCCTATTGCGCTTCCTGTTTCACCTGAGCAAAGGCCAATGTCCATACTGATTTATGTATCGCTACCTTTAGAAAACCACCAAGTGTTGAGATGGATTACAATTTTGGCAGCAAAATAAAGACAAAGCGATGTCAGCCACACCATTTCACCATTGAGTATCTTAACATTGCGACAAAGGCCTTTAGGAGTACTAAGAACAGCTGAAGGAATTTCTGTGATTACTGATGTCAAACGGTTGAATGAAGAGTAAGGAGTTAAAATTGTTTCAGCAGTTTAAGCGAAACCAACCTCATGAAGCTTTCAGTTACAGAGTCATTCACTCACATTTTTCTGCTATTCATACCCATTACAGTTCATCATGCTGGCAAAGTAGAATGCCACCGTCAAAGTTAGTGAAATAACGTACTTTTGGTCAGACGATCATCTACCAGCAACGGATGTAATGGGTTCTCTGACATAAAAATGCATTAGGCTTTTCACAAGATAGAAAGCCTGGAAACACCAGTTACCACAGTGAAATAAGAGTAAATGTGACTCAACGTCGTATTCGTGGATTTATCTACTAGGAATGTTCGGTCCAAAGAGGGGTGAAAACGTTGAATACGAGTCACATTTATCAAAACGTGTTTACATTTTTAAGTTTATCCAAAGAGTATTTAGAATCAGCTTCCTTCACGTTCTGGATACCAAAGGAGAATAATCGAAGCCGGTTGGTCATTGCTACATACTTTTAACATTGTGCTACGACGTAATGACTTAAAATACTTTATTTCTAATCCAAAATTTGGGTTTACTCTGAAATTTCCGCAAGAGGTTTATCATATACAGAACTGGTACTAGTTGAAACGATCATGTCCAGGGAAAGCGAACCACTTAAGATAACAATTGTCCAAACGTCATGTTCACTATATGGCAGTTTACATCACGTATTATTTATCAGTAAGCTGCAGTGATGCTAAAAATCGAAAGTGGTGAATACTCGTTCAAGCAATGCATTACAGTCAAAATAGAAAACCACTTTTTCTGTTGAATGTGGATCCGTACTACTTTGTCTACAATTTAAAGTTTTAGCATCGTTTTTTTAAGAGACCAATGAAGCTAGACAGAACCTTACTGGTTACCGTCAACTTTTCGGCTGAAACTGTGAGTAACAACTCTCTTGGTTACCGTAATTTCCATTTGTACCATCAATGATATAATTGTCTTAACTAACTATGTTGTCTATTTGGCGATCTAAATTGCCAAATTTTTCCTGTAATTCTATCTTATTCAAAGTCAAGAGTTGTTCATGTGATATATCTGCTTTCAGCTTCATTTCATTCAGTTTGTCTACTTGAGGTGAATAAGCTTCCTATGACATGGAAACAGAAAATATCAGTCTTCTTATCTAGTGGAACCGTGGTCACTAAACCAGTGACTCAAAGGGGAGTTATTTTTATCGAACACGAATTGCCAACTAAATAATATCTATCAAAGTGCACCATGAAGGCGGGTTTCCTAGCTTAGTGTGACCACACTGCAAAATGATCCATAGAACTCGACTAGACAGCATGAAGTAAGTCGCTCTCCAGCGACCAGTCAATGCATACAATATAGTCCTACATGAGGTCAGTTGCGGCTGGTATGGTTTAGTGTCATTGGCTTACATGGGCTTGGATCTTATTGAGAATATCAGTTCCTCAGAGGTTGTAGATACTACTTGGTGACGACTACCAGCAAGCACGAAAGCTAGGTTCAGGGTTTTCTGCCAGCTAGCATCTATCAAAAGTAGAAACCTGTTTGAACATCATCACAACTGAGGTTTGTGTTCTATTCTACTGAAATCTGCGGCACTTTGACTCAAAAAGCAGTTGGAACATTGGAAGGTAGATGACACGAAGTTGATAAGTTTTCATGGACTGTACTGATTAGTATGAAATAAAGGTAAACAAAATTTTTTTTTAAATAGATGTGCTGTACCTGTATAACAAGTTTTAAGAAATTGTTTCAGTTGAAATCATAAACAATTTCATCTGTTGCATGTTTTGTAGCAATGGTATGAGATAAAAACGGGAAAGAGAGCTTAATATTCATTTCCGTTCACCAAATGAACTACTATTTCACCACTTGTGTCGAGATCTAGTTTTGATTTCTCAAGTATTTGTGCTTAACAGCTGGTCTATAAGCTATTGTATATGTAGGAGTCATTCTAATAACTTAATTATTTAAAACCGAATATGACTAGTTTGAATGGGTCTAAATTAATGGTGGTTTTACTTCATACAAGGAGTAAACTTTTGGTGAAAGACAGACCAAAACTTTGGATAGCAAATGTCATTGTCATATTGTCATCATAATGAGAGAAGAGTGAAGTGATTCAATACTATATCACATTATCACAGGTGAAACAGCCAGCAAAGATGTAGACGGTGGTCAAGTGTCTTCAGAAAGTGTAAGTTATTTCAAAATGTTACTGAATACTATAAAACTGCTCGTCTAAAAGTATTTTAGAAAGAGGCCTGTTGATAATACACACAACATCAGAAATGGTAGAGTGAAACAATAATGTAATTGTGATAGGTAAAACTTCTGATCAGTTAAGTACAAATAAGGAGAGTACGCTGTCTTCAGAGGCCGGAATTAAGAGGCAACACTCGAAGTAACCTGCTAATCAGTATAAGATATACAGTATCTTATCAAGAGGAGTAGAATATGATCTTGAAGGTAAAACGTATTTCTTCAGTGCGTGCAGATTTAAGCTGGAGCTAGATATCTATCATATATTAGCAACCAAGCTCTCTTCATACATCTCTGTTCAACATTAAAACTCTGCTTGACAAACAACAATAGGTTAACATTCATCTCAGACTAATATCATTCGGAGGACCAATGCAAAATTGGGGCACCGTACATCTGTTTCGTCTTAGTATGGGGCTCGTCAGAAGGACGACTCCTCCTGGGGTCAAACCAAAGGCCGTCAAGTTTCGTGGCGAACGCGATACCCATTCATCCAATGGGTTAGATCTCAATAGTCAACAACTTCCAACTTCTGTTAATTCGCGATAAAGTGCAACTATTCAGTAAGGTCTTCAGTTGGCATATGTTTTATTTTCATCTGGATGACCCACAGATCACAGATTCTCATTAGAACTTACGGGTTTCCACCTCAAAGCATGTCGCTGTATTAGGACGAAGCATGTGTCTAGCGCTTCCAGGTTTTCACTGATTCTCCAATTGACGTCAGTCCATGGTGAACGCAATCTATAAAAATGAAATCCCCAATAACCTCAAAATAAACAACAATAAGACAAACAAAAAGAGTAATTTCGAATTAAATTACTTACTTCTGTATCAACTTTCAATAGTGTCTTTTCCCAATCATTTAGTCGGAGTCTTTCAGAATAGTAACTGTATTTCTCAGTGAATTAGGATTACTCAATTGAAAGTTGATTTGACACTGTTATTACATGTTGCACAATTAAGGTCACGCAAATATAATTCATACGCTTCAGAGAAGGAAAGTATGGAGTTCAGTCAAGTATATTTGTTCAAGCATTATATTTAAGGATAAATCATACGGTACTTGTTGAGTAGTCTCATTTTTTAACTATTTTTCTACAGTCCAAGCTAGAAACCACTAAAACAGTTTTGATTCCTTGAAGCTTATTGGTTGTTATGAACAGATTATCAACGCATACAAACCCTTGATATGTAAAGGAAACGGTATATTTTTCAAAAGCCTGCCAATATCTCATTTTATGTTTAATTTACTCGGTGGCTCCTCGGTACTGGAAATCAGGGTAAAGGAGTTGTTCCAAAGGATATCTTAGTCACTGCTAAAATAACCGATTCAGCTTCTATACTTCATGGAGAACAATCTGTCCAGCGGAAGTAAAAAACTTAATTGTTTATTTCAGTAGTTGATACAGTACTTTTATAGTCTGTCAACAGCCCCAAATCACTTGATTCAAGTTAGATTCTTTATTCACTATCAAGCCGTTTCCTTGACCTCCAGACAAGTTAAACTTTTTATTAGGATTCAGCCATACTGTACAATAAGATTGATAGATAACTTGGCATGAATTTCCATGGGATAACGTATATTTTGGAAGAATATAACTATGATTGTTATCTATAGGGGACAGTTATCATTCAATGCTTATTTATCTATGTAGTCAACAGCTTTGATAGAGACAAACGTTTGAACTTAACTTGCTAGTACCTAACATGACACCGTTAATGTTGTTTATTGTGTTATAAAAATAAAGCGACCTCTCATTCCTCAGCAAAAAAAGAAGTAAAGAAAAAGGGTAAACGAAGCATTTTAAGAAAATATAATGCTTTATAAACATTTATCAATTACCATCATTATATCTGTACAAAGTTACTGGAAAAATAAGTTGTCTCATGTTGATAAAATACTGATATGGTGTACACTCTAGGTAGCACTGACTCAAATTGAATTTAATAAGTAATATGATTAGTTTTCATGTTGCTCAATGTTAATTTTTTCCTCATAAAAAAATTACACAAAATAAAAGAAACAAATAGAAATAATAGATCATATGTTCAAACTGAAGAGAAAAGAAAAAGAGAAACAATCGATATGAACAAACAGCAATTTAGTCCTACTAGTCAGTGAATAATCACAATAGCCGGATAAATACGCCATAATCATTATGATGTTGATTACAATAGATAAGTTGAAATATAATCAGGATCAAATCAGTTGATGAGGATTTTACTAGTACACATGAAATGATTTTGCAATACTCCTTAATTTCTATCCCGAATATAAATTTCTGGCAGTCAATTAACAGTTTAAGATTAAAAATCAAACAATCGGAGAGCATTTGAATTGTTGTATACCAATAAAATATTTGAATTAACTATAGAATGAAATAACAATAAAATTCATTATGATAGTAGAACAGTTTCACTTACCATTATGAACAAATAAAAGTTTAACAGATGAGAATGAAAAAGATATAGAAATGCTGTTAAATAAATTGTGAATGATGAATCTTCAGTATCATTTTGACTAAATGAGAAAGCTGTGAATTTTGCGAATTTCGATTGATACTGGGTGATGATCGAAGGTGGAATGAAAATTTAAGCACCGACAAGATTTAAAGCATTGACTACCGGGTTTTCAGCCCACTGCCCTATCAATTGAGTTACGAAACCAGACTGCTGACCAGGTTTTCATTTTACTTCAACTTTTTAAGTAATTGACCTTTTCTGGCTAACTAATGCTATTATGTAAAATTTTCGTGCAATAAATATGAGATTCATCCTGCAAATTATTAGAAGCTATTCATTTGTACTCCGACAAAGAGTTTATAGGTTGAGTCATATAAAGTTAGTTTTCAATAACTTCTTTTATACCTTATTCTGCATTTATTTCATGATTGAAAATACTTTATTCTTGGTTAGAGAATAGGCATTAGTTTATCCCAGTAATTTGGTTGTGGCTAGCAGAAGAATCCAGGATGCTCGTTTAGTCCTATTTGGGACTCGTTAGCCGGATGTTCTTGCTCCCCAGTCAGTGTTGTTCCCACTGAGACTCGAACCTCTTACGCATCGCTTCAAACGCCAAGACGTTATCCACTTTACCACAGGGAATCGTAAGTATACCAATAAATAGTTTATTACCATGATGATTTCCTCTAAATAAAAGTGTCTTCGAGATTTTCTCTTATAGATTTGATAACAGTAATATCGGCTGGAATGGCATCACTTCAGGTATAAATATCTTCAACGAAGCTCTATAAAATGTGATGGCTTTTATTTTTCAGGATTTTGTCTAAATGAAGTTGTTCTCAAATATGTACACATCCTCCATGTAAATTTGTATGAATAAAGAATATTCTTTTCAATAAATTCACTTTGGACCCTACAGTTATAAAGTAAAACCCAACATTATCATAATAACCTACTTTGTGGCAAATATGTACCACAACATATGATGTGATTTAGGGATTGTAAGCTAATTATTTAAAAAATTTGTCATTTTTGTGACAAAAAATATACATAGACTAGCACATCAGAAACTGTGATTATAGGTTAGGCTAAGCTAGAACTCCATATTCAGAAAAGGAATATTATATCGATATTTCTCTACTGATCTCCCAGCTAAATGCTGCTTTTCTTGCCCTGTATACTTCTTCATCTACCTCTTCTTAGTTAGTTTTAGCCATGGTATTCTCCATGCTTATTTCTTATTGCAACAGTTCTTTAAACGCCATTCACTGTGTCAGTGTTGCCGTCAGGGAATCATAGCATTCACCAGCATTATGGATTATCTCTTCACCATTACTACGATTGGTTATCAATACTATTTGTAATTTGATGTGGTTAAAACTATTTCATACATTGACCGTTTCGTGATAATCAATGCACTTCGTTTCTGTCATGTCTTACCTCATTCAAATTATTTTCTGCACTACGTTGGATGCCTGTTTAAGGGGTGCTATGACGATGAAATAAGCTATTGTTTGTCTACCCCCCTTTAAATTGTTTGTATTTGTTTTGCACCGTTTACTGTCACAATTAATCCCTCATTAAATTTGATATACACATACAAGCCATTCGAAACTTATTTTATGTTGAAAAATACATTTACCACAAACTTAGCATTTGACATGATGAACGGTTTTATTATTCCACACGTGTAAAACCTGAAAGGGACTTTTTGAAATTGCCTTGTTATCAAAATCCACACTTTTTCTTAGCATAAGCCCTATCGGTTTAATCCATGGGATAATCAGATCATATATCGCATGTTAAGCTATGCTAAATGCAAATCAATGACAGTTTTTAAGAATAGAAATCAGTAAATATTAAGTTGTAACAGCACTCTACTCATTATCACCAAGATCGTCATCAGAAAAATATATCACAGCGTATTGTAAATAAAATAATTCCAACGTTTCTTACAAAAGTCGGGTTCGAGCTTTTTCAGGGTGAAATACGTCTTCAAGTTTACCTTATCAGGGATGGTACTATCATTCTTATTGGTTAGTTTGCAGCTTTGTTAGTAAACATGGAGAATTATAATTCCATTGCATGTTATATCTGAATAGCTACTGCTGACGTATTTTGAAAAGAAACAAGAAAGTGGGAAATACATGAGGTTTCAATTGGCATAAGACATTGAAAAAGGGAAGAAAATTACTCACCTACTGTACAAGTGAATCAACGAATTTTTGAGGTAGAATTTGTTCTTCCAACTGTCCTAGTTTATCCTCTAAATCCTCTATAGCTTGATTACCTCTACTATATTCGTCCTCAGATCGGTAGATGTGGTTTGTGTAATTTCGTTGTCGGTCAATATTTCGCTGAGCATTTGAAAACCATTTCTCATGATTACTAACAAAGCTTAGTTGAGTACCAGGCAAACCAGAAGGTTTTTCAGTTGAACGAATTAATTTAAAAGGCTTTGGAAAAGCTACTGGCAGACTAGAATAGATCCCCAGTTTACATAATTCTTCTCGAGATCCAGCAACAACAGCTCGGCGAATTTCAATCAATTCATGTAATCTATCAAATGAACTTTGTAAAATCCTTTTCTCACTACTTGATGGTGAAGTAAAGACCCGATCTGGTGTGAGTGGTTTACATGAGACTGAAAAGCTATGATTTACCAAGGGTCTTCTCAGGGAAGGTAAATTTTTCAGTGAACATGTACTGGAAGAGAGTCGATCAGTTAATGATACATTCATTGGGCATTCTGAAGATGTAATGTTATCGAAATCAAACTTATCTGGATAAGCGAACTGTTTTTCTTGAGGACATTTTGGGTTATCTAGTAAATGCTTATACAGTTTTCGATAATTATGCACGGAACTATTATCGCTTGTGCACAGCCCAGAAAAATCTTCCACCGTTTTCCTACGTATCATTGAGTTCAACTGACTTTTCAATTGTACTACCCCTCTCCTAAGTTGTGTGACTGTATGATTGGTGTCCTTTTTTAAATGTGTTTGCTCAGGAAGTATTTCTAGTAGTTTCTCCACTCGCTCACAAGCTTTCCGTAAACGTGTTTCAGTTTCTTCTTCCCAACTGACTAAACGTCTTTTTTCTTCGTTATACAAAGCCAATAGTGACAGCGCATTGTCACAGGAAGTTTGAATATTCATATCATTTTTGCTATAGCTTAAACTTCGTGCATAAGAGGGTCTCGTTTGAAGTGAACTACACCCTTCAGTTTTAGGATGCTTTTGTAATGTTTTACACCCTTTATTGTTTACGTGTATGAGTGACTGTTGATCATGAGATTCGTTTCGAGGACTGTTTGGTTGCAGAGACTGAATAGAATGTTTCAGGGTATTTTCTATTACATCTGGTGTTTGACAGTTTATCAGTCTCCATAAATTCTCAGTTTTGTTCTGCTGTTCAACAAAAAGACTGCCTGGTATTTCATTAGATGATACTTTATGGAAATCTGATGAAAATTCAGAATACGTTGTTTGTTCTATCAGTTGCTGTGCATGCTCTAAAAAGAGGGTCACTATTGGACCTAAACTATGTGGACCTTCAATCTCGGCGCCAACTTTAGAGTTCACAATTGACTTCAATTGTAAAATTACTTTTCCTACTAAATCAAATGTGGTTGAAAAATCTGTTTGTAGTCCGTAATCTTCATTATTTATACTTTCTGCAAGGCACAAAGCGTAATAGATTTGTTGAATTTGCTGCTTATCAAATATAAATTCATTTTCTAATGAGGCATTCAACCATATTTCCAAACCTGTACGTAATAAATCTCGATTTGCCTGTAGTGCTAGAAGGCCTAAACGTTGACTTAACAACAGAAGGGTGTTTTTCAGTTGTTTATCGAGTTTAGTAATCATTTTTTTGTTAATCAGAACTTGTAATCTTTTTAAAGCATCTTCTTCTTTTGTCGAAAATCGTGTATAATCCATGAGACATGATGGTAAACATAGTGATGCATCTCGAAGAACAACTATAGAGGACAAAATTTCAGACATTTCATTCGGCTGAAGGGTATTCGTAGATAGTAAGTGATTGAGTCGGTTTATCTCAGGTCTTACATCTTCTACTGGACATAAAACACTTTCACAACTGGCACAGTTCAGCAATACGTCAGAAAATGTATCAGATTTGATTTCATCCATTCCAGGAGTATACTGTAGAGGGTCAACTTTAATTGGACTTATTTGTGTTTTGCTGTCATCCAATGATAAACTACTGTAAATTCTTTTTATATTCTCCTTCAACTTCTTGGAGGTCTCTTCATAAGTTATACTCAATTGTTTTTGAGGCATATACTTTTCATCAGATAACTGTGAGTATTTACAGAGTTCATTGATTAATTTTCTGCATAAGTGATACTGCAAATGTGGTATGAGTTCTAAATCATCATGGAACATTTTTGAGTAAACTAGTTTACGATGTAAATGTTCTGAATCTGAGATTATTTGCATTAAATCGAATAGATTTAAATCATTTATTTGCATATCAAGTAATTGCTGCAATCTTTCGTTCAGTGCATAAATACTCGGTGTGAACTTTAAATCTGTAAACGTTTTTGTAATGGTTAATGAATCGCCATGTTTATTTCGTCTTTCGGTATCGTTAGTCAGCATTTGTTTTAAAAAGCACAATATCAATTGAACCGATTTGTTGGTACTTGTAGTAGATTCTGAAAATTCTTCATCATTCATAATAATTTTCAGCAAGTTATTGGCATATTTGTTTAAATTTAGGCAAAGTAATTGGTAGATGCAAGAATTCAGATGTTGATAACTATGTTTTGGTAGCATACTCCATAGCTGAATCATTTCTTCACAAGTATTACTGTAAGCTAATGAGGTTTGTATAATTGTCATAGTATCTTGTGGTAAATTTTGGTAAAGCTGATCTTTTTCAAAAAGACAGTTAATAAAACAGCTGTCCAATGAATGCGGTGAGTTTGAATTCACCATCAATGTCATATCTAATGAAGGGTCATAGTGATTAGATTGTAAGCAACTGTTTCCACCTAGTAAAAGGGAGCTGACAAAATATCGGAGATAGGAAACTGTTTGTACTGGAATAGTTGGACAAGATATATCATGAAGAAGTTGAAGATGATTTAGCGTAGTGATAATATACTTGGCAGGATAATGATTCAGTAATAAACAAACTCTTATCAGATGGGCAAGATTCTTCCGTTTCATTGGTTCAATAGGTAATCGTGTTAGATTTGGTCCAATGAAGTTCTCTTCATCGAACTCATTCAGTATGTTTATTAGTTCTCTTCGAATATTGTGAGTTAGAATTTGTGATGCTTTTTGTTTTAGTTCACTTAAAAGTCGAAATTCAAATTTCGAAATCCACAAATTCTCTAAATTTGCAGATGATATCCACAAATGATATTCAGTTTCACTGAGTAAGTAAAAAGAATAGGGTTTATGAACTTCTGAATGTAAAAACTGTAAAATATTTTGTATACTTGAAGCGAAAGGAGCAGCATCAGTTGTTTGGATAAGAAATAATGAAGGAAGCTCGAAAGATGACGAAGATGATGATGACGAGGAGGAAGACATTCTGGATAAAAGTGAATCTAAACAAACCACTGATGCAATAACATCACTACTTGCGACTGATTCAAACGAATTCATTTTGGTTGAACATAAAGCTAAACGTAATGCTTCCTTTTCAAAATTCGAAAAACTGATGAACTCCTGTCCACATTCATGTTGCAGTTCTTTTAAAAAGTTTATACATATCCATGCATTTCGTGGTCCACTCAATTGCCTACTTAACAGTGACAGCTGAATCGCATTACTTAACTCTTCATTTGTCATTTCAGCAGTCAAATCACATTCTGTACTTATGGAAAGTTCTCGTATACTCATTGTTCTCTGCTTTTGTGAGTATAATTCTAGACGAGGTTTCCAGTAGTCTAGTAGGCGTTTTATTTCAGCCTGTTCTAATTTCATTATTTCTGAGGTAAGAGTTGAATAATTCTGTTGTGATGTATAATGGTTAGATTGACTGCAAGCTATAGAGGTATACCACATTCTCAGAAGCAATAAATTAGTCCAGGAATTAGAAGAGATACTGAAGATGCTATCCTCTGGACCAATATCAATAACATCAGTAATTATATTCACATTCCCTTGTACTAAGCACGAAAATGATGAACAAAAAACTGCAGCATCCTCTCTGCTTATCGTCTGGAAACGAGGTGATTCATTCGATTTTTTACTAAAGTAGTTTTCCATTAATAATATACAGTTGAAAAGATGTAGAAACCTTGTAGGTTGATTAGTTATCCATTGGTTTTCATAACAAAGATCACTTAAATTTTGTTCAACAAACTTGACAATGAATGGATATTTAAGTGGATTACCTGTGGATTGATTCAAATTTTCCATGATACAAGCTATTTGTTTAGCTCTTAAAGGATCGGAAGATACTTCTAAGGGATTAAATAAGATTGACTCAAGGCACTTTATAATCTTCTGACACTGTTCTAATCTAGTGAATTCATTATCCATTTCAATTGTATTCAATAACTTTAGACCGTCAGTAAATAAGTTCATCTTCAGCTTTGTTGATATCAATTTCATATGTGTGCATAAATCATTTATCAGGCGTTTGTTGACTTCGCCCATGAATATATTTTGATTTGTAATAATATTAAACAATAGTCTAGTAATTAAACGTTTTATATGAATTTTCAATTCATTTTCATTTGTTACAAATGGTTGGAGCATTTGTAATAGGTATACCAATAATAGATTATCAATTGGTGAAAGACTCTCATTTAATTTACCTGCATGAATAAAATATTCTAATAGATTTGTGAAAAGAATTGCATAATGTGCATTTAAGGGTGATGACGATGATGATGAATTGGAAGACGGAACATTGGTGATTTCAAGAAAATCTTGTAAACAATTCACACTTTTGAACAAGTGTAAAATATCATTCAATTCAAAGAGATATTTTAAACAGTGTGTAAAATTTTTTGAATTGTAAACAAAACGATGTGTTACTAATAAGTCAATTACAATTTGTAAGCATTTTGCATGATCTGAAAATAGATTCGGTAAACACATAAGAATTAAGTAGTATATGTCTTTCAGGGGAATAATTTCTTCTTGTTCACGATATGATTCATTTAATTGATTGACTAATTTTAAAGCATCAGTCATTTTTTGTATAATGTTTAACCTTATTTTTGGTTCATAGCTCAAAAGAAGAACTTCACAAGAATGTATTTCATCATTGGTTAAAGTAAACAGTTGTTGTTTTCTCGTTGAAAAACAATAGTCCCATAATCTTTGTTCTAACCTATGAAGTTTTTCCCTAGGAACGTTTTCGTCGGTTGAATCCACACATGTAAGGGAAACAGAATGACATGAGGATATTACACGCTTGGAGGATAATAATCCTCTTAAGGCATAATAGAAAAATCTTGACTCAGTTTTCCATATCTCTGTATCATATGAAATAATATCAAAAAGAATTTTATAGTTTAATAATTCTGTACATGTTATTATAGTTTTCGGAAGTGTTTCGCATTTAAAAATTGTAGATAGTTGATTCACTTCATTAGAAGACAGTTTAATCATTTTATCCAATGTATGTTTTTGTACATTGTCGAATAACTCCATTTGTGAATTAATATTTTCCATTAATGAAAATAATGGAATTATTTGTTCTGCAGTCAACGGTTTAAGCTTTAAGCATAACCGTATTGTCGAAAGTAAGTTAGTAGCTGTTCCAACGTCGATGTCATGTCCCGTCATTTCAGATGATACATAAAATTCATCTATGGTGTCCGATTCATCAGAATTTTTTTCTTCACTCTGTTGATTTGAGATTATGGGAACCACATACTTAAGGTTTTTTATTTTAACATTTAGAGCTTCGTGAGTTTTAATTTCCAATTCGGACATGTACGATAGAACTTTGTGCACTATATTCTGTTGGATTAAATTATCTGAATTGAATACATCAGATACGTTGAATGTTTTTCTTTGTACACTGTATTCTAAAAGCTTAAAGTATATATGATCCATTTCTTCAACTTCGTCAGAAGTTAAATTTTTCATCATCTTTTCATCGAGACGTGCCTGATGGAAAAGAGTAGCTAATTGTATACTATTAGCAGGTCTCAATATGAAATCTTCATCATTATTCGAAGTGAGGGATTTTAAAAGGCTAGAACCAACGCATATATTAGTAAACTTTTCGATGACTGAATTTGTTTCATAATCTTGATCAATGTTTATAGTTTCTTGCTGTTGACTAGGTAATCCAATATCGAGATTTGTATTCTGTAACATAGATTTTTTTGAAATAGTTGTGTGAAAAATTGTTGAAGAAGTAGTACTTAAGAGTGGAGGATGATTACTCATCCCAGGTAATGGTAATGAATTCATATGATTTTCTTCTTTGTTTGATGATAAGCATAGATTATCGCAAATTGTTAATTCAATAGGATGAATTGCTTTACTTACGTCTAACATTTTACTTGTTATACTGATAAGTTGTTTGCCAACTGAGTTTATGTACATACTTTCTTCCTCTTTCAAACCATATGGAAACAACTGTTCAGCCATAGTTAACATACTAACAATCGAACATTTTAGAGACTCTGGTATCGTGTCTATTTCCAATGAATGTAACTGTGCCAAATGCTCAAGTTCAATTGTATTGAATAAAAGTCTGTATGCTGATAATGGACTGCTGATTTTCTTACTTGTTTTAGTTCGATCATAAAATTCTTTTAACCTTTTCAATCTAATATGAAGTACGTCTTTATCAAGACATTCTAAACTGTTATTATCATGATTATTAGTAAAACTAGATAAAAAGTTGGTAAAATGTATAGTTTGTCTAAAAATTACATTTGATCAGAACATTGTTGAAAGAATAAACAGTAGTCACGTAAGGAATCAATATCTCTCAGTGATATATTTAATTGTTCTGAGTATGACATAATTGCTGTTTGACCAAGAATTAGGTCATTTATAAGTTGACCATTGATATTTTGAACTTCACTGGATGTAGATAAATCCCTGAGATTGTATAAAATACTGGTTTGTATTTCATTAAATTCAGCATGGTATATTTGATCTAAAATTTGGTGAATTCTCTTCATGGAATTTGAATTCATGATGATTGGACTAGACTGTGTACAATTTTGAATAATATTTAATCTAAATAAATTTAAAAATTCATCATCTATTTCTAAAGTATTCATGATTTTGGTTCGATTTCTAACAAATTCTAAAATACAAAACAAACTTTCAATATTTTCCGTAGTCAATATACAAATATCATTTTGATTGAAATTTGTAAGACTCTTTTTCAGCTTATTTAAATGAGCTAATAAAATCACTTGCTCATGTAAATTAGTAGTGTGATTAGAATTATGGCATATCTTTGTGTTATTTTGTAACATATGTAGGCATTGTTTTGATAGTTGGAATTGATCTGTAGCCTCCTTTTCTAACTTCTCTCTAATATGTGAAATAATGAACCAAGTTATAGGTGTCATTTCATTTTCTGTTACACGAACCAATGTTTCAGAATTTATAAACTCTTTTATCGAATCAATTGTCTCAGTATAATGTTCTGTTTGTGAATCAATTGAATCCACATACTTATACTTTCTATCATTGATATATTTTTCTTTTAGCTCGGTGATCAGGTTATTAGAATAGGAAACTAATTTATTCACTGTTCTCTCATTAATTTGATAACAATTGTTTACCTTAGTTGAATGAATTTCTTGTACAACCTTTTGAGTTAATTTGATAAGATCTGGAGGCAATAACGTAGGTGAGCATAGCATTTCTGATAAACAACTCATAAGTAACTTACAATGTTCTGGTCTTACTTTCAATGCATTTCCAGACTCTTCAGTCTTTGATTCACTGAGTATTTCTCTCAGTGCTAAAGCGTGTAAATATAAATTAGGGTCCATAAAAGTTTCTTTCACTGGATCTTCTTCTAGACAAAATGTTTCAGAGGATGTTGTGCACAATTCCAAGTTATCAGTTAAATAATTTTTAGGTGATATGTATGGTACAATTGACTTTTCCCTGGTAATCTCTAAATTTTGTTTATCTCCTAATAAATCTTTTACTGGTGAGATAGGTGAATACAAGTTCAATGAAATGCATTCATTTGTATTCAGTAAAACTGAGGCATTTAAATTCATCAGCGAATCCATCACGTTTCTCACAATGGTTATCAATGAATTTTGTAGATTAATTCGAAAGTTTGATCGAAAAATTAGAAGTATACTAATCAGAATATTTACTTCTACTGATATGAAATCCATAAGACCATAATGTATCCGTCTGTGGGATAATAAAATGCCCAATAAGACCAAAGATTTTAAAAACTTGACACTTTGATAATCCAACAACTCATTATAGCACTGACAGACAGTTTGATAGATTAAACAGTTAATCTCTATCAAATTAAGCTGAAAATGTTCATTTTCATATCTTAAAACTGTTTCAGCATGTAATACAGTTGAAATAAAAGATGATATTGACTGTGAAACATTTTCTGGCAATTTAGCACACTTGGTATTCACTAAGTGGTGATAAAATTCAGCGAATTCACCCAATATCATTGTAATTTCATATGGATTAGGAATGTTTAAGCTTTTAGTAAGTATTTGACTCAGGGCCATAAGAATTCCACATATCAAATCATCAGTTTCACCATTTACAAAATAATATGTTTTACTCATCAGTTTATTATTAGTTTGCTTTAAAAGTTTTTCAACCTGATTTTGATAACTATCACTTATTTTAGTTGTTTGCACAGTAACTCTAATTGATGGTAACAGTTTTTGGAGTGTTTGATCTATATTACTATCAAAAATATGATGATCATTCTCGTAATATGAATTGCACAATTTAAATAGGGATTTTAATTTTGTACAAACTGGTGAACAGTGGATAGATGGTGATTCAGAATAATCAACCAATGACTGGTAATTTTTCTGTATATTCATTAAATAAACCATCTGGTTCACTTCATTTGGCAATGAACAAAATAAATCTAAAATGTATAGTGAAATCACAGTTTGAATGAAATTAATAGGCCTTGTTGAAATTGTTTCATCACTAGTCATTTTGGGAAGAGAATTTGTAACTAATGTGAGTGGTATCATTTGTCCAACTGAACAATTATTATTTATAATGCTTTCGGAGTGTAGTTCAATCTGAAGCAACTCCATAAGTTGTCTTAACTCATTGCTTAAATTTTCTTTGAATTGTTCAGAATTTTCTCTGAAAATGTAATCTGCATCACTTGAATTGTTGATAATATTTAACAAACAAGGATATTTATCAGGTAGAATAGATAAGGAGTACTTTGAAATAGCTGAACACAACTTTTCAATAAAGGACTTATTTACAATACAATCTTCACTAACTTGTAAAGTATTGATTAAGAAACTTAGTTCTTCGTTTACTACTAATGGTTCATCAGTAGCTATTGTAAAATTACTTGCATCTTCTGAATTTACGCAAGAATTCAACTGCTTTTTCAAAATTTTAGTATAAGCTGACTGATCTGCAGTGAACAATTTGTTCAACAGACAGACATATGTACAACTAAGTTTGACAGGTTCTTCTGAGTTTTCAGTGATACATTTAGTCAAGTAATTACTTATGTGTTTAACATCATTTATTATAAATTCAGAATTGAATTGTTCACTTTCAATAAAAGCTTTGCTTTTGTTCTCAAGCACTTTTGATTTTAAATAACTCAAAATAGGCGCTATAACAGATGAGTCAACAAAAATAGTATTTTCTGTATTGTACTCATCTGAATTCGAGTTATAAGATGAATAAGAAAAGTTATCAGAAGCTGTGCAGATCTCCTTTTGTTCCCCTAATGTTTCGTCAATGTAGGTAGATAAATCGGGAAAATCAACTCCAGTGGCTATTGATATCGTTTGTGACATGTTATCGGAATAGTTTCTAGAATAAGTTGATATCGTTTGAATTTCGTCATCAGTATTAAAACTTTTTAGTGGATTTATCTGACCAGAAGATTTGATTGAATGTTTTCTTTTTGAGACATTATTCAACTGTACAACTGACTCATTGGACACTGTGTCTGTTTCATATGCACTGGTTTCTGGTGTACAGTGTTCACTTATTGGGCTTAGAACATCTTGAAATCTAGTCAATACATCATTATGAATTACTTGAGGTGATGTTGTACTAATATATTCAACGTAATCATCTTTGAGTACAGGTTTACTGCAAGGATTCATTTTTATACAGTATCTTTCGAAAGCCTCTTCAAGTAAAATTATATCAGTCGATTGACAGAAAATTATATCATTTACTGAGAAGTCCTTTTCATTAGAGGTCAATTGTTTTGCAATAAGTTTATGAATGTATTTCAAGTGATCAACGCTGTTTACCTCTTGATTAGTATTGTCATAGATAGTGTTTGAGTTAGTATTGATAGCACCAAACTCATCTTCAACAAGTTGTAAAGCAGTTACTATGTCAACAGCCGTTTGTCTTTGTAAATGACAGAGATTATTTCGACTGTCTCTTAACACATTCTGTTTTATAGCTTCAAGACCTTGATTGACAATTAATCTATGGTTTAAACTAATCATACTGTCCAAGTGTTCAATAATCTCTGAACTTAGTTCTAAACTCTCTTGACATGAGATCTCTGTTGTCTTGAGTTTTTCCAAAGAATTAATCACCTGTTCAATACTGTGAGATAAGGGTTTTGTGTCGCTGGATAAGGATAACTTGTCCTTAGTCTGAAAAATTTTTGTCACCTCTAATAATGTTGTCTTGATTTGATCGAATTCTGTAAACTTATTATTACTCTTATCAATAGTATCATTATTACTTAACTTGTTATTATCTATGTCGACTGATATTAACAAATTATTTTTTGTGCGCTGAAGGATGCTCAATGCTTCATATAAATCTGATTTCGGTAACGGAGGTTTAGCTGGTGTTTGAAATTCGTTCTTGACAGTCAAACTAGTGGCAATGAAGCCTTCATAAATATCTTGACGATCATTTATACTTAGAAGTAGCATATGTGTAGTATTGTTTGAAGATATTGCTTCCTGCATACGCGTGTATATAGTTTTCAGTCTATCAAATAAGTGTTGATTAACAGGTGAGTGTAGAATATTTGATTGTAGTAGTTCAACCATAGCTGGCATAATCAGTTGAACATCTTCAGCACTCAGACAGCTTGTACCCATTAACTGAAGAACAGAGGATGAATTCAAATTTGAATTATAGGAAGTTGGAGAATATCTTTTTAACTTGGGATAATGCATCGAATTTGAACGTTTCTGATGGGTATCTTTATGGTTTTTATTGTCACCAGAATAATTTCCTTTTGTTTTGTTTTCAATAAGTGAATTACTTTGGAAATGTACTTGTAAGGATAAATCTCTTCCATGATCTAACTGATTCCGGTCAAAAGATCCAATTTCTTCTGTGACATGAGATCTTTCTGAAATGATTGGTGATTTGCCTTCTGTATTCGTAACTAGTCTCTTACACTTCTTTTTTCTTGTCAAGGTACTACATGTACAGAAAACTTTTTGACGGCAGTGTTCTGAAAATAATTTAGGAGAAGTATATACACTATGAAGGTTTTGAAATGCAATAATATGTGATGCACAGTTATTTACAGTTTTGTTAAGATAAGTGGGAGTTACTGATCAAAAGTCGTGTAAATATCAGAAATGAAAGGATATCGATTCGTTCTTACATCTAATCCTAACTTCTATCAAGAGATTGCACTGAGTATTAGATCCTAAAGCTTTGTGCCTAGTTATTTTGTTTGAGGTGTCTTATCCTCCAAAATGAGTGCACTATCTTAAACTTTGTCAAATTCATATCCAGTACCGTAAAATTTCATTCTTTTGTCATCTATCATTCATCAGTGTGTTTCTTTATTCTTTGTGACACTTTCCTGAAAACATTCGCCAGCCTTTTCAGAGTTCGACTGGTTTTACACCCTGTAAGAGCATTGTATTCCATATGCAGGTGATTATACTTTGCTAATTATACGTACTCTCTAGTTTAGGTAAGTCTCTTTAGTTCGAGATATAGTTTTCTCAACAGTGCTAGTTGGACAGAGTTGAGATAGTGATCGTTATTCATTCGTTACCTAAACAGACCACGTCGTAGAGCATTCAGGGACATGTGTAGAATATCACAGACTACGTAGCAATTTAGCCAAGTCTTATGCTGAAAAGAGAAGCTGTGAAAGTGACTACATGAAAACAACTAGTTTACACCACTGCTTTTACAGTTATACAATGATACTAATGGGTTAAATGAGGAAGAAATTTACTGCCGTACTTCATTAAACGATCAGATAACTTTTTTCTGTACATTATTGGAATTTGCTTCCATAAATAAACAAATAAACAAGTATTTCTAGTTTAAGCATACATCGTATTGGAATGATATTTCTCGACAGATCATTATTAGTGGTAACTGATAACAGTGTTATTTCTACATTGGACACTCACCTGGAAACCAGTAACTAATAGACTAAGACATATCTTCTTGCAGCCTAAATTTATCGTTCGCTAGGAAAAATCATTATCAGAGTGTATTTCTATGAAGAAGCCATGTACAATAAATTAGGAGTGTTTGAATATTGTTTAACATACAAAATCGAGGTTGGTAGGGATTCTATTTCTAAGGTAGTATTCATCACAGACTAACATTTTTTGATATTTTGTAAGTATTTCATTGTCAATTGATCAAATGAACATTGAATACTGAAGTTGCACTGGTTAAATTTTGTCAAGGTGAATTATTCGTTTATCATGTATAAGCCTTTTTTACTGTAAATAATGGTTCAGCATTACTACTTTGACAAAGCTGTGACCATTAAATAGTGCAATGTTATTAAGAACAACTATTTTTTACTCATCTATTGAGAAATGAAAATACTGAAGTAATGAATATCAGTGACTCAGGGTTCAAACTTTCTGAGACCATCAGTTCTCTGCTTGACTTGAACATACGTAAGTGGTTTGTCAGTTTTGGTAACACATTGGTTCACTGTATCGTTTCACTGAAAAGGGGAGTTCGTAGAGTAAAAATAATTGCTGACTACTCCTGTTGAATTCCTGAATGCCAAGTTTAATAAAGCCTTTGGAGTTTTCTCTCAGTGAGCAAATGTTAGCTGTGCGATATAATGCCCTAATCTAGTATGCCTCTAATCGTATGTACAGTCATGGACTATATATTAATAAAGAAATCCAGTCAGAAAAGCTGTATTTAGGAATTTGAACCTATCAAAGATAAATTACTGTCTAACAACAATGACTGCCCCGAAATTATGAATAATTTTACGCGCTAACCAGATAAGGTAAAAAGGCAGTGGTCCTACCAGTAATCATAACTACTAAAATCGAAATCAGTGCCTCCGTCCTGTTGTTTCATTAAGAAAAGTTAAATATTTTTTCACTGTACTACGAAAAAAACTGTGGGTAGGATTTAAAATCATAAAATCGGGAAGATACTTGAAAAGGTGAAAGGTCCTATCAACTTACAATAATCGAATCCATTAAATACTATGAAACGATTGACACATCAATTACACAGATCAAAGTATCTGACTGGGGTCAGCAGTGGTATAAAGTTCAGATATTCAGTTAAACGTAGAATTTTTAACACGAAACGCGTAATCTAGAAAAAAACCCAACTTATACTATGCATCCATTGATGCATAGCCATACTATGACGCATAACAGAATGACACGTACCAAATGCTAAGACGGAAGTTGATTACTACATTTTCGTATTTCGAATCAGCATCTGATTTACAAGTTAAGAATGACTGCAATAAGTATTACATTGAACAAATGGTCACCCTCTTCGCTTTCCTTTACATGAACACCAGTTTGCTATAAACATCAAGACATTTCGTTCCGTGTGGAAAACTATGGGAATTATTTATCTTTGAAAAATGTAGAGATATTGAGCATAGGAAACGAAAAATATCAGAAGCATGACATTCAAGTCAGTAAGGAATCAGCAAACGTATAGGCACAGACGCAATCTATTAACCAATAAGAAAGGTGCTAAACAACCACAAGGTCAGATGTCAGGCACAGGAGTGGCAAACAGGAAAATCTGTGCGGCCAATGACACACCAAACAAGGCAAAAGAATCACAAACCACTTCGTTAGAGCAAGTTGCTGAATCACTAACGGAGAAATACTGATAGCTTACTCAATATTGAATTTAGTGCTGATGATGTTGTGTATAAAAACAGTGAAAGCTCCAAGATTAGACCTTCTACTTCAGCGAGTCCAATGCAACCGAAATTATTAATCCCCTCTTACAGAGACTATGTAGATTATTTATAGTGGAAACAAAAGAATAAGAGTGCTGAAAATTAAAGATGAAGCTTGAAAGAAGTGCACTGCCTTAAAATAATGATGGATAGTAAATTGCATTGATCTTATTCTCTGTATTAATGTCAACCGTACAAATAAATACACAAGCTAGTATAAAATGCTAACGCATTGTAATACCCGAGAGTGACTATTAATATTCTGCAGTTTCTACTGTAAATTCAATACAAAATATAGTCAATATGCAATTTGATAAAAATAAAATAGGGAATTCAGAAAAGGGTGGAAATTGTAGCTCAAAATGTTTATTGTCATAGCACTTTGTAAGTGCAGATAGAGGCAAGATGCAGGATAACTTAAATTTAATAAACGTCGAAAGACTTCGTTAGCTCTAATCTACTCACTATAATCCACTATTGGAAAAGTCATATGCTTATATGCAATTATTATGAATTTTTTTCAAATCCTTAATTTGTTAAACAACATGGAATACTAGGCTATTTGAGCAAGCGTCTGGAAATTAAATACGGTGTAATATGAGATTTGTGTAAACATCGAGGCTACTGTTCACTCCCATTTAATATGAGCAGAAGTAAATAAAGGTTAGTATAAATTGAAATTTGACTCAAAATTTAAAAAAGGTCCACTCTAATTAAATAGTCAATAACAATAAATAAAGACAAATTTCTTGTGTTTTCTTGCAAATATACATCACTGAGAAGCGTGTGTAACATTCTAATCTGAGGAAAATATAATGATCAGTAAAAGATGTTAATAAATATGCTTCAAAGTAAATTAAATCACCCATCATTTTCCGGTCATCTTATTCTAGTCCCTATCTTCTATTTTTCTTCCAACTTGAATAACAATATTTCTATGTGCAACAAATTTACAATTACAAAAATCATAATAATAATGACAATAATTCGACTTTTTCCGCTGTAATCCTTAAATTACCTTCTTAACAGCTAGCAAGTAATGATAACGTACTGCACGTTTGCTTTACTCATTTCATGCAACCTTTTCACCGTACTTGCTTATTTTATTCAAACAAAGCATTCTGCAGATTACCATACTCAATATCCATTCTATCTTTGCTTTAGTTTCCGTATAGAAAAGAAGAGGAATTGAAACGAAATGAATTCATTTTGTACCGCATATTTCGCTATTTGAACTTTGTATCAACTGGTATCGAATATCGCTTAAGGTTAAGATACTATCAACAAGTCATGACGAACTAACTTCTTATAGAATAACACTGTATGCATAAATTAGTATTCTAACTTAGCGGGATAAATATATGTTAACAGTTTGATTACAATTCATTCAACTGAATATCTTCCTCAGCAGATGAATAACCACATTTAAATATAATTAATGGGTATATTTATTGGTAAACAAATCATTACTTGTTTAACAGTAATTTTTAGTAGTTAGTAGTCAGGAAATAATATAGGAATGGAGGTTTCGTATGAAAAGTGAAGATATTTGACAAAGTGAATAAAACTACGTGACTAGGTATCAAGAGTTAAAGAGTTCATAACAAAATGGTCAAACGAATGTCAATGAGAAATTAGTAACTGGACTATGAATGTATACATTATAACAACACGAAAATCAAAATCTCATTTAGGTCTAAGAATTGAAAAGTTCAAGAAGTAAGAAATGAATAGGGATAGTGAATGGCAAATTTACTTCTCGATGCACAAATTTGGTTATTGTAGTTCCAGAGCCCCAGTAATGTAAAGTAAAGGAGTTCTAACACCGTTTGAAAGATTACTCTGCACTTTGTAGACGACTGAAAATAAATCTTTTAGAACTGTGTCCACTACTGACTAAGTGTTATACTATAGAGGTACTCTTTGCTTCATATTGACCTTTACCAATCCATACTGAAAAGTGTTGATGTTGACAATAGACAACCTGTATCAGCATACAGCCAACGAACTTAGCTCCACAGGAGTATGTGAGTTGAAATATGCACATGGAAGTGGGTATTAGTGGCAGTTTTCATCTCACACACATATTCAGAATTCAGGGACTAGTGAAAGCGATTTGCAAAGTGGCTGCATCAAATATTCTTTGAAAAGTCTTAGTTAGTCAGTATTCGATTAACTCATCTACTGCATCTCTATTTCATTCCGAAATCAAAAGTAGCTTCTTTTTCTCCGTAATGATAGGACACTGGTGTGCAGCAGTCCGATCCACATTTTTATAGATGAGTCTCTCCGGG